TACAGAGATGAATGTTGCTTCCACTAATTAACATTAATTTACCTAACAGAACTCTGCCCTTTTGCATGAGTTATGGTATAAAAAATAAACTGTGTACTTAGATATGCTACAGTTTTTTTTTTTTTGTCGGTCGTGGGGCCTGAACTCTGGGCCTGGGCACTGTCCCTCAGCTCTTCAGCTCAGGCTAGCACTCTACCACTTGAGCCACAGCACCACTTCTGGCTTTTTTCTTTTTGCTAATGTGGTGCTGAGGAATGGAACCCAGGGCCTCAGGCATGCAAGGCAAGCGCTCTACCACTGAGCCACCTTCCCAGCCCCGAGTTTTAGTGTTTCTTAGCCCTAGGGCATTAGATTTTGAGAGGAGGCCTGGGCCATTGGTGCCCATGCTTAATTGGAAATTTAAAAAACTTGGGGACCGCCTTTACAGTGCTGAGGAGAGTTGGGGTCCGGAGGGGATCAAAGGCCGTGTTGAGGTCCTGTCATGGGGAAGCGAGGAGGAAGGGCAGCCATGGGGAAGGGAGGCCTCTCAGGAAAACATGCATTTGCATGTATGATGTGGGCACTTGTGGGCATCATGTCAATTTCCCTCCCCTGTGTGGCCTTGGCCTTTTGGTACCTTTCTCTGCCATGTTTCCTGTCAGGATGGCACAGATGATTCTCTTGTGACCAGTGTGGGGCTGGGAGGATAGGGAGATGCCATGATGGGGGTTGCAGGACAATGTTTGGTTTGCTGCAGTTCTGCCACATTGTGGGGAAGGTTGGCAGGATTGGAGCTGAGGTAAGTTCATTAGTTGTCTAGCTAGATCTGGAGGGGCAATGTGGAGATTTGGGAGGAAGAGCTTCACTGAGGTACAGGGATTATATGAGTGACCATGGGTTTGTTGTCAGGAAGAGTATACTGAATACATTATCCTTTTTATAAGGTTTATGCTGTGCTGGTCCTGGGATTTGAACTCAAGGTCTTGGTGCTGTCCTTGACCTTTCTTGGCCCATAGGTGTTCCTCTACCACCTTGATTAGAGATAAGAGTCTCAAGGACTTTCTTTCTTGGGCTAGCTTTGAACCACCATCCTCCTGTCTATACTTTCTGAATAGTGAAGATCACAGTCATGAATCACTAGCACCTGGCTATCTTTCTCTTAATTTGCAAGTGTGTATTTAGGTTATTTTGTTTTCTCATATTCTCTTACTCCAGAATGAACTTCTCAAAAACAGACCCAGAAGCCAATGGCAGTAAGTAGTTCACAACTATAATCCTAGGTACTACAATGCTGAGATCTGGGGATTGCAGTTCAGATCCATCCTGGCAAAAACCTCAATGAGGCTTTTACCACCAAATAACCACTAATACTCTCTTCTGTAAACATTCAGTGACTTAGAACAGAGAGCATTTTTCATCTAATAAATACAATTACTGCAACGTGCTGATGGCTCATGCCTGTAATAGTAATTACTGAGGAGGATGAGATCTGAGGATCATGCTTAAAAGTCAGCCTGGACAGGAAAGTCTTTGAGACTCTTATCTCCAACATGAAGTAGCACTGTGCCTCAAAGTGGTAGAATATCATCATTGAACAAAAAAGATAGGGGACAGCTCCCAGGTTCTAAATTCAAGACCCATGATCCACCAAAAAAAAAAATTCTTTCCAGGCACTGGGGGCTCATCCCTTTAATCCTAACTACTTTGGAGTGTGAGATCTGAGGCATGAAAGGACATGATACTATCTCCACCAGAATGCTCAGAAAACACCAGAATTGCTGAGTGGCTAAAGTGGTCAGAGAGCTAGCCTTGAGCAAAAAGAAGTGCAGGAGGATATCATACGGGTCCTGAGTTTAAGCCCCAGGACACATACGCAATTCTCATACGTGTGTAGAGGCAGGGAGACTGTGATTCTCATCAGTTTTAGTTGTATAGGGAGAACCAGGCCAGTCTCAGCTACATAGTGAAACCTTGTTAAAAATAAACAAACAAACAAACCTAGACACAGATGGCTCACGCGCATAACCCTAAAAATACAGGAGGTTGAGTATAAAGATTTGAAGACAGCTAAGGCAGAACAATCCTAGGGAGTCACGTATTTCCCACCAAAAGCGAGAACTTGAGATCTGGCTCATGTGGTAGAACAACAGCCTTAATCAGAAAGCAAGATCTGAAGCCCTGCGTTTAAGCCCTGGCACCACCACAGGAAAAACAAAAACCCACATGAGCTGTGTATTTGGACATTTTCTTCCTATGATACTGCATTGCTACATATAACTAATATCTGTATTGTGAAATATATATTCAATGACTCTACTAAACCTTCACTGACCACTTTCCATCTGAACCTTCTCTAACAGCATTGAATGTTCCAGAGAGAACTATTTATTATTAAACACTAAGTGTATTGCTAATAAAAATCTCACTTTAAGCTGGGTGCTGGTGGCTCACACCTGTAATCCTAGCTACTCAGGAGGCTGAGATCTGAGGATTGCGGTTCAAAGCCAGCCTGGGCAGGAAAGTCCGTGAAATTCTTTTTTTTTCTATTTTTTGGTGGGGGTCTGGTCGTGGGGCCTGAACTCTGGGCCTGGGCGCTGTCCCTCAGCTCTTCAGCTCAAAGCTAGCACGCTACCACTTGAGCCACAGTGCCACTTCCGGCTTTTTTCTTTTTGCTTATATGGTGCTGAGGAATCGAACCCAGGGCCTCATGCATGCAAGGTAAGTGCTCTACCACTGAGCCACCTTCCTAGCCCAAGTCCGTGAAATTCTTATCTCCAATAAACCACCAGAAAACTGGAAGTGGTACTGTCTCAAGTGGTAGAGCTCTAGCCTTGAGCTGAAGAGCTAAGGGACAGCACTCAGGCACAGAGTTCAAGCCCCTCAACCGACAAAAAAAAAATCTCTTTTATTTTTATATTTTGTCCTGTTTTTGGTGGGTGTGCATGTTCTGAGGTTTCAAGTCATGGCTAGGGTGCTATTCCTGAACTTATTTTGCTGAAGTCTAGAGCTCTACAATTAGAGCCCACAGCTCCACTGCCAGCTTTTTCTTTCTTCAGATTGGAAATGTGAATCTCAGACTTTACTGCCAAGGATGACTTTGACTTGAGATCCTCTGATCTCAGCCTCCTAAGTATCTATGGTTATAAACAGGAGCCACCAACACCTGGCACCATTTATTTTTTGTTTTACCACTCAGTTTACAGCTTGAGCCAGGTCCTCAGATAGATGAGTGTTTTAATTTGCTTATAAATGGGCCATGTGTAGTTGACAGTTTCACCCAAATTTATCTAATTATATGAATATTTCTTTTTTTTTGTCAGTTGTGGGGCTTGAACTCTGGGCCTGGGCGCTGTCCCTCAGCTCTTCAGCTCAAGGTGAGCACTCTACCGCTTGAGCCACAGCACCACTTCTAGTTTTCTAGTGGTTTATTGGAGATGAGAGTCTCACAAACAGGCTGGGAAGGTGGCTCAGTGGGAGAGCGCTTGCCTTGCATGCATGAGGTCCTGGGTTCAATTCCTTAACACCACACAAGCAGAAAAAAAAACTGGAAGTGGAACTGTGGCTCAAGTGGTAGAGTGCTAGCTTTGAGCTGAAGAGCTGAGGGACAGCACCCAGGCCCAGAGTTCAGGCCCCACAACCGGACCCCCCCCCCAAAAAAAAAGAGTCTCACAGACTTTCCTGACCAGTCTGGCTGTGAACCAAGATCCTCAGATCTTAACCTTCTGAGTAGCTAGGATTACAGGCATGAGCCACCGGCGCCCAGCAAATGACTATTTCTTTAGGTTCATATATCTAACAGTCTTCTACCTAAAATCAAATTAACATGTTTTCAAATGTTTGTCACAGGAGTACATTGACTGCACAGATCAAATAATGTCCTCATCCAAATTAATCTCATATCAGGAAAAGTCCAGTCCACATTGATTCTTCCTCATGGAGTAGATACCATGTCATGTGTCCAGGATAACAGGAGTCAGAGTTAATTTACTAGTGATGAACAATGAAGGACACTAAAAGAACTTCCAGGCCATTCTCACAAATGCACATGTAGAAATCCCACTGACTCATTCATAGTTCACCTCAACATGAAGGGGCACATTAGAAATCCTCATGAATGTCTTCATGGCTATGAACATCTTAGGATAAAATGCTACTAAACATTTAAAGCAAAATTTAAACGTATGAATTTTTAATTTTTATTTTTACTATAAATATAATTATTTTCCTTGAAAATTTAAATTATGTATTTGTACAGTGCAAACAGGTTGGTTGTATGTAGACTTATTTGTGTACATGCAGACAATCACTGCTGGCAGGGCTTCACATGTCATTACATTTGTTTGCTTCCTGGAGAGGGGGAAGTTGTCCCAATTGATAGATGAAGAGACCCAGGCTCAACCTTGACACTATTCTAGGCCCTATGGCTTGTGCTATGATACTTCTTATGTCGCTAAACAACAGGAGCCCAATCCAAGCACCTGGCAGCATCTCTCTAATGCTGGATTCCTTGACAGGGTCTCAGCATTAACTGTCCCCTGTAAATTCAGCAGTTTCTCTCACACATCTCCTACTACTTTGCTGTTTTGTTCTACTTGGGACCCATATGCTGTATTAGGTGATTCAGGGTCTATTTAGACAATATGTTGTTGTAGGAAATGGAGAATAGATTTAGTACTCCAAAATTGCACATCTTAGAAAGAAAAAACCGGGACATTTTATTAAATTCAAATATTAAAATACTGTACCAACACTGACAAAATACACAGAAAAAATGAAACATTTCCCCTGGGGAAGGAAAGAATGGGAGGGAAGCTGCTGTCAGGTGGACAGTGGGAGGTCCAGCAGTGGCTCAACCTCCAAAGAAAACATACTTGGCCAGAGATGCATTGTGGATATTTTTGTACTTTTCCCAAGTATAAATAGCTTGATTTGACAGAGTTTAGGCACATTCCAGGTGAATATCCTCTGCCAATGACAGGAATGTTACCTCCTACCTTATAACTGGATGCTCTGTATTTCAGGTGGGTGACCAGAACCAGCTGGAGGCCCATAGGAGGCAGCAGGTGTTGTGCTCCTTACACAGAGGACACATACTGCACTTCCATGATGTGGGGAACACAGTCCTGCGGAGGCTCCACATCTTCTTCTGAAGCTGGTGAAGCCACTGATTCCACTACCACATCTGCTGCCATCATGGATGGATCCTCTGCCTTGATCTCAGGAGCAGGTGCTGTGTGCAATCCTAAATCTAAGGCTGGAAATAGATGCACTGTTAATGGAGGGAGCTCTAGAAGTTGAGGTGGGACTGAATCTTCAAGGAGAGTGTAGGTGTGGATAATGAGTGGCTGTGCATGAGAGTCTCCATACAGAGAGTAGAGGCTGTTTACCACAGAATACCCATCACAGGACACCTTCCCTGACTGGGTTATACTAATGGTTACTGGCCAATCACAACCCTGGGATTCTTATGCCACAAGGGACCGGTTTCCATCCCTACTCACATGTTCTTAGGAACCTACCTAAGGACTCCTCTGTCTTTTTGTCTGCCTCCTTGTTCTCCTGCTCCTTCAGTTGGGTGAGGAGAAGGTGTCCACAGACTGCCAGGTCTGAGGAGGGCATATGGAGCAGCACGTAGGCCATCAGCTTATTCAGGTTGGCCAGGTCCTTGGACTGGCAGAAATCCTCAGGGTACTTGTCCAGCCACATGGCAAGCATGGAACTCAGGGTTCTGTGTGCAGTTGGATAGAAAGCAGAGTGAGAGCTGCAGTCTCTTCCTGAGCTCTTGCACAGGCCCTTGCTGGGAGAGCTCCCATGCAGACACTGCCCACCTCACAGACAGACTTGCATGTTGGGAAGTGGGAGGAGTCCCATGTGAGGAGAAGGATCTCTACTGTTGCTCTGTGGTACTCACTAGAGGCCCCCTCTAGTCCCAAGTAGACCAGGATATTTCACTTATTTCTTTCCCATGCCTTTAGATGAAGCCTCAGTCCCCATCACAAGTGATGTACTAACCAGAGTTTGCTACCTTGTATCCCAAGCCCTAACATTTATCTCACTCTTCAAAGAGAGCCCTTCTCTTTGTCCCAAATTCCACTCACTTCTTTACTTCTTCATCCTCTTCACAGTTCTGATGGAAATGTGAATATCTGTGGGAAGAGAGGAGGAAGTCATGTTTTCAGTGTCCTCTTTTTCTGACATCCCAGGTTGTCTATGTGGACTGGCTAAGTCTAGGATGAGAATGGGGAGATTCATCTGCACAGTTTCCTCAATTTTACATGAAGGGGATTGGAATGTGCCCCTCCAAAGTGCATGCCTCATATGTTGGTGCAGTGATCCTTCCCTGATGGCTCAGTGGACATAGGGCTCTCAGTCCCCCCCTATGCTTTAGCCCATTCTCTGGCTCTAGTTCTCTAGGGGCCTAGATTGTTTTGGGAGCCTTCCTAAAGTATGGGAAATGTATCAGAGGGCTTCAAATACAGGATTCTTTTGTGAGTGTCCTGTGTTTAAGGACCAAGGAGACCATAGTCCTGGGCAGCCCACTTCAAAGGAACAAGCTTGGGAAGGCACTGCCTGGTCTCATCCCATTTTTGGATGAGAAGATCAACTTGAAGCAAACTGGGTAGTGTTTTCTAGCTCTAGCCGGGAGGGTGGTGACATGACTTTGGTTTGGATGGGGCACTCACCTGTTAAGCAGAAGGTCCAACACTTGCCCTGTGGTGGTGAACTTCCTATAAGTAAACAGGAAGGCTGGCACGAAGAAGGGATCCTCCTTCTGGTGTTGAGGAACCAGGAGGTTTACCATCTTCTCCAGCATGCCTGGCTCCAGGGTGCTCACTGTATGGGGCACGTCCTGGGCTGGGACTGGCTCCTTTTCCTCCTGAGATGGGATCAGAGGAGGTAATTGAGAGGTGAGATGGTAGGACCCTTGAAAAATGGACTCAGTGTGATCAAGCGAAGTGAAAAGTGCACAGAATTACTTGAACAGGACACCTGGGAATTGAGGAGGGCTCTAGGGTTGGCTGGGATGACAGTGAGATAAATTACCTGGGCAGAGTTCATTTGCTGTGGCGCAGCATTTGTGCCATTTGTGTGCCTTTGGAAGAATTCCCTGAGGCGCCAGAGTCGGGGGTGAGCCCTGACCCAGCGACCACTGTGGGATCTCCTGAGACCTGAGTCCCGGGATCTTGGCAGACAGCAGGAGAACATCCTCCTTCTTCAAGTTTGCTAGCCAAGTGAGCTGGCTGCTGTTGATCTGGAATGTTGTTGCCTGGCTACCAGGATTCCATGTTCAGTTGGCCCCATCTTAAAGACGTAGGCTTCCCTCCCCAGTTCCCTTCTTGCTGAGCCCCTTCCTCACACAAGGCCTCCCCAGAGGACTCAATGGCTGCTAAAGTGCCCTCTCCCTCATCACCATGCACACATTTGTTCACACTTAACTGCCGACCTTGTCCAGTCTCATCATCTTCTGTCATAACTGGCTATAGGCACGGTTTCAGTTAAAAGCAGACAGAGCCCTGCTTTCTTACCATTTGAATGATCCTTGATGAGTCATTTTGTATGACATGGTCCCCTTGCCACCTCAATTATTTTCTGGTCTTTCTTCTAATATGTGTGCCCTAGGGTATTGATAGGTGCTGGTGCCCTTAAACACCCTGTTTTCCTGACTTGGGATGTTGGGGTTGCTTGTAGGAATAAAAGCCCCAAGTGGAAAAAACTTACAAAGGCAAAGTTGACTTGTGCATTGAGTAGGCCATCAGTCCTAAATCTAGCATCCATGCCGATAGCAGGCAGGTTGCTCCCTTTTTATCCCTAATCCAGCAGGCCCTGCCTCTCTGCCTTGAATCTGGCTGAGCTCAGGTTCACAATGCATAAGAGTATGTGGTTTAGGGGCTGGGAAGGTGGCTCAGTGGTTAAAGCGCTTGCCTTGCATGCATGAGGCCCTGGGTTCAATTCCTCAGCACCACATAAGCAAAAACAAAAAAAAGTCGGAAGTGGCGCTGTGGCTCAAGTGGTAGAGCACTAGCCTTCAGCTGAAGAGCTGAGGGACAGTGCCCAGGCCCAGAGTTCAGGCCCCATGACCGGACCCCCCCAAAAAAAAAGAGTATGTG